ACAGTGGGCACCCCCCTTTCGATTCGGGACGGATGATTTGTTGAGTTACATTCTCCTTCATGACAAGCTCCTGGAGTTTGACATGGAGGGCTTTGATGATGATGATGATGATGATGGAGAGGAGGGTGTCTTTATTGGCGGACACGTCAACCAAGTCGGAACCCGGCAAGATATTTTGCTGAGTCAAGAGCTGCTGGAAGTCGTGCTGGACGCTGCCTCGGACGCTCTCATGGCAGTTGACATTAATCCTATCGCTGTTGACATTGGATTCTTTGATCCGAACTCGATTGGCTTTAGTAATCGATGGGCACTCTTTCGAGACTACAAGACTGTGGTGCTCCGGCATTGTGCCAAGAACGTTGTGCAGCAAATGGGCTGTCAGTTGGCTGGACTCGATGTTGTCGCGGAATCGCTCTGTGATGTTGGACAGCTCTTTTGGGGGATTGTGGCATAGAGCAGGCAAGCAAAAAACACGCACATCTCTGGTGCATGGTTGGACGATTGGATGTCTCCGAAAGGTTCTGTTACGGAGCATCAAGCCGGCCGTGGCCTTCTTCTGTGGCTCGAGTTGGTCAGGTCAGGAGAAGAGATTGCCTGATCTCATTGCCCATGGATTTTGCAATGAAGAAGGCCGACCACGCCACAGCAGTTTCCCCCAAGCGGCCAACGTTTTAAAGCGGGCAGAGCAGTTCGCACCGGTCAACCAACCAACTCATTCAACCAACAATTCGAAATGGCGAATCCAGTGCCATGTAAGCGAAGGGTAGAATAGTCAGCGCCAAGCCTCCGATGATCTGAGTCACGTTAGGTTGGAAAACCTTGAGAGAGGCTTTCGAAGGCTTCAAGCTACCTGTAGCAGAGCATCGTACCGGTGCAACCGGTGCACTATGAAAATTGCAGAAAAGAGATGATGGCGACATGCACCCGCTTAATTACGGGCAACACTCGGTCTGCTGCAACCTTGAGCCTTTGATTCCTCACTAAAGGAGAGCCACCGTGCTGATCTTCAGTTCAGTTCAGAGCAATGTGATGTCGACTTCGTGCTCAAATGGAGTTTTTTTGGCAACATCTTGCAGGCCTACCACTCGTTCTTTCCGTCTCAGGCGTTACTACTATAGCCAGATAGACATCATTGGCATTCCTGGTAGCTGTTTTTCAATGCATGATAGCTGTCTCTGTTTAGTAGCTTCTGGAATACATACCACTTTGGTACGAACTCAAAAAAAAGTCCCGAGAAGTTGGAAGAAAACTTGTTTTGGCTGGCTCGTAATTCCTATCAGCATCCCCATCCCCCGGCCCCTTCCTTGGTCACTTGAGAACCTATGAAAACGTAAATAGCTGTGACAGCAATTGTTGATTTCATTTGCATGACCCTGGCCCCTGGCCCCACTATGTAATGGTGGGTAGCACTGGGAGAGAGCAGGGGGGATGCAAGGGGACAAATGAGGAAGTAGAGGGTTTGAGGGAGAGTAAGAGGGGGCTGTGTTACATGTTTGTCTCCATTTCAGCCACACATATGGAGGTGGTGGGCCCGAAGAATAGCGGGGCTGAGCCGAGCATTAACAGAGCCACGCACCACTGGCTCGATTCAGAGCACCTTTGCCTCAGGATCTGTGCCGTTTTGATCTTGACTTGCTTCTGCTTCGGATGGATGGGATTGAAGAACAACACCAGATGATAATGCTGGTCGCAGGTACAGAGCGAAGAGGAGAGTCGGAAGTCGTGGTACTACAACCTTAAAAAAGAATGCATCGATAGAGCTTATAAATTGTCACATATTTATGCTGTAACGTTCATTGCATGAGAGCCATTGAAAATATGCTTAGCCACATCCACATGCATTGCAGGTGCATGCCACAGGAAAAGGGTCTGGATCACAGTCAACAGTTATGGAAGTCAAGCTTGGGCTGGAACACAGATTGGCCGGAACACTACCCAACAACTGGTTGTCATTCAACCCCAACGTAGTCAATCCGGTCAAAAGTCCTATCTCGGATGGAACGTTCCCGCTCAAGCTATTTGCAGTCAAGCTCAAGGTAGTCAAACCGGCCAACAATCCAAGCTCTGATGGAATATTTCCGTTCAAGGTATTCTGCAACACGCTCAAATAAACCAATCCAGTCAAGAACCCAAGCTCTTCTGGCAGGCTTCCACTCAAGCTATTTTGCCACAAGTTCAACATGGTGAATCCAGTCAACAAGCCTATCTCCGATGGGATGTGTCCATTCAAGCCGTTGACATACAAATTCAACTCTGTCATTGCAGTCAACAATCCGACCTCCGAGGGAACGTTCCCGCTAAAGTTGTTGACATGCAGGTTCAACTCGGCGATTGCCGTCCACGCACCTATCTCGGTTGGCAGGCTTCCACTGAAACTATTCCGGGACAAAGTCAAGGTTTCCAATCGAGTCAGCAAGCCTATCTCGGTCGGCAGGCTACCGCTGAGGTTATTCCGACTCAAACTGAAGAAAACCAACCCGGTCAACATGCCAATTTCCGATGGAAGGCTTCCGCTCAAGTCATTGGACGAGAAGCTCAACCGATGCAGTCGAGTCAACAATCCGATCTGAGTGGGAATGGTTCCCATGAGATCAACATCTGCCCTATCAATTCCCGTGGTGTTAGCGACGTAGTAGGTTGTTCCAAACAGTTCAACTGTTTCTGCTGTGGCTGTGGTTGGAATACTTGTAATGAGTGGTTGTTGAGTGGGACTAGGACTGAGATTAGTAGTTTGGTTGGTTGGCATTGCTGTGGTTGAATTAGTGTTTGTTGGAGGTCTTGTGGTGGGATTGATTGTGGTCAGAGGTCCTGTTGTTGTTGGGTTGGTGGGCCTCAATGTTGGTCGTGATGTTGGTCGGTTGGTGGGCCGTAATGATGGCCGTGGTGTTGGACGATTGGTAGGCCGAGGTGTTGGGTTAGGAGTGCTGGGCCTTAACGTTGGCTTTTTGGTTGGAGGGGATGTGGATGGTCGTGGTGTTGGGCGATTGGTGGGCCTTTGCGTTGGTGGAAGCGTGGATGGCATGGATGTTGGGTTGCGGGTAGCCAAGGGTATGGGTATGATGGTGGATGGAGGAAGGGTTGGATCTGGTGTTGGTTCTTTGGTGGGCCTTTGTGTTGGGTTCGTCGTGGATGGCGCGGATGTTGGCGACATGGTTGTGCCATTTGTGGGCGTTTGTGTTGGATTTCCTGACGATGGTGGTAATGATGGTGGTAATGATGATGGTGATGATGGGTCGCTGCTGGGACCACTAGTAACAAAAGGACGGAAAGTATGGTTGATGGATGGGTTTGGCGATGGATGAACGGTTGGGTCTGCTGTTGGGTCATTGGAGGGTCTTCCCGAACCTGTAGTTGGCTTTATCGATGGGGAAAATGACGGGATGGTGGCAGGACCACCGGTACTAGTACCGGTGGGACTGGTGGTAGGATTCGTGGTTGTCATCTCTTGTGCTGCTGGTTGGGTGGTTGTATTTGCTGGAAGGATGGGTGCTGGAGTAATGATATCATTGCTGCCACTGGTGGTACTAGAACTGGAGCTGGAGCTGGAACTGTCCCTGGAAGCACTGTCAGCGACGGACATGGCACTGTCGGTCACATTTAGAATAACGACAGCGATTGCTACTGCCGCAATGACGAGAGTAGCGACCGTGAGAGCCCGACATGTTCTCTTGGAGGCCTGGCAAGCACATCTGATATTGTCTTGTGGTGGTGGTGTTTCGTCATTGTTGTGATTGTGGGTGCTGTTGTCGTTGATGCTCATGGTGCTTCTGTGGATACTGGTGGATGCATTAGTAGTCGTGGTGAGTGCGTTTGTGGTTGGCGGTGGTGGTGGTGTGTCATGATTTCCATCCTGAGGTGGCGTGGGCACCAGTGGTGGTTCTGGTAATTTATCAGGTGACGGAGGACCATTTCCCTGTTTGCTAGCTTCATTGCCATTGCCCATGCTATCCGCGCTATCCTGTGGTTCCTCTGCAATACTCTTGGGTGATTTGGTGCCTGGTGTTAGTGCTGGTGTTAGTGCTGGTGTAGGCATTGGTACTGGTACTGGTACTATAGCTGCAGCTGCTGCATGGGAGGGAGAAAGTTCGTCACTGACAGCATCAATCTTGAGGTGAATCAAGCTAGGAGTCCAAAGATCTCCAGCTGGGGAATCAGGGACTGACAGAACAGATCCATTGCTGCTATCCACTTCAGTACTCATATGATTGCTAGTTTCCTCCTTTGGCTTAGCTAGTCCATGCTTAGCTAGTCCATGTCTTTCCTCAGGATCTCTTTTGACCTTGGCAAAATTGACCCTAACCTTATTCTGAATGGTCTGATTCCCATCTTCTTGCTGCTCTTCTTCTTCATCGTCTTTTTCATCTTTTTCAGATTCATCAGACTCTGGTACTAGCAGGACAGAAACCAGAGGGGCTTCATCCGCATCATCATCTGCAGTCTTGTGAGCCGCATTGGTCTGAGTGGCAATGGGGGTAGCAGAAGCCACGGGAATGGAAGCTCTTGCTCCCACACCTGAAGATACCCCTGCTCCAGCACCTACCGGTACATCTTCTTGTAAGGCTCCTTCATCTTGGTATTCTTGATCAGCGCGAGACCCGTCAGGTTCCATGGTTGATAGACTGCTATTAATTGTATGATGGCAAACCAAAACAAAGATGGTGTTGTCCTTGCTTGTCCTCGCAATTTTTAGTAGAGGCTGTCCCTCATTTTTCTTTGCTGCTCCACGAGAATGGTACCGCGCAGACGCTTCCCGCCTCTTTTTGGTATCCAAGACTGGAGGGACTCTAAGTGAACTGGACACCAGACTCAAGACATTATATCTCCAGATACCGGTGTACCGGTACCTGGTGCTATCACGGCTCGTCTATAGTCGAATGTTCTTGGCAGGACTTGTGCCACTTACCTTTCCGGATTTTAGAAACGCTACTATGGGGAAGCTATTGTCAGGTGAGACACAAAAGACTTATAATATAGATATACAGAAATGTATTAAAACATACCCGCCGATTGCGTTGTGATGATTCGAGGGAGCGCAAGCCTTTGGTGCACGAATTTTACTTAAACTAAACCGTGCTATTTTATTCGACTTCAATTTTTGTATATAATCACTCCGGCCAGGCTCGGAAGAAAATCGAAAATAAAGAAATCCTTTCCACCAACCAACCAATCGACACCAACACAATGGCCAAAATGACGGCTGATATCAGCCTTCTTCCTCTTCTTGACACTCCTCATCCAGATTAGCGGGCTCACCCTCATCTAGGCCAAACCAGTCCTCATCGGCTTGATCATTGATATCCACTTCCTCGGTTTCAGTGGTTGATGGAGGCATCAAGACGATGGGAACGATGAGATTCTTTCTTTGTTTATCCACGAGAGCGTTGTCCCCTGCCGATGCAATGATCAAGGATAGCACCTTGTCCCAGCGTTGATATACGTTTCGGAAGGCTTCAAACGAGTTGTATCTGCCCCATGCATTCATCACTGTTCGAGCAAGGGCATCAGTGTTCGATTTTGTCTTCCGGCGATGGACTTTTTCTACATAAGATTGGAGCCCACACCAAATCCCCAAGTCCAACAGATTGGTTTCTGGGCTTCTAGGGATCTGGTGGATGATCTTCACATTGTACAGCCTCTTCACTTCCTTCTCATACCAATCAATGGCATCTTTTGTTCCATGGCCCCCAGCATTGTCCATGATGAACTCAATTTCCTGGTTTGCAGGCACCCAATGATACGCATTTCGAATTGCCTCCCCCATCAGCAGCATGTGCACCTTCATCCATTCAGAATCGCAGGTTGTATCCTTTTCGAACCATTGACCGGCCCGTCGAACCGCTTTGAGATCGATGTCTGCCAGAGTGAGACCGACCAGTGGACCTCCTGGCGTCTTTCTGATTTGGTGTCCGAGCACGTTCTGGTCCTCTTTCATTGTCACCCATTTTGCCTTGGGTGGTCCCTTTGCTTGTCGCCGAGAAGGTCCCGAAAACGTTTTGTATCGCAGGACAAGAGACTCTCGGTTGGCTTCGTGCATGCAGAACTCTTCCACGGAGAGAAAGCTGTCGAGGAGTTCTCCCACCGTCATTTGGTGCAGCAGCTGAGGCAAGTGCAGAGACCTCCAAGTATGGTGGATCAGAGTGTTGGCAGTGTAATCGTCGACAATGAGTTTGAAGTAAGTTGTCTTCTTGGCTTGAACAGTTTCGCTCACTCGTTTCATGTAAATTTTCCCATCAAAATCATGCTCTGGGAATGGACAGGCCACGACGGCAGCAAACATAACTTTTGTGGCGAAGCGACGGCTCGAGACTCTCTCAGGCTGATATATAGCCGCATCCGGATGCTCACCGTCTTGATGAGGCAGTTGCTTTCGCTTCCTCCGTCCACTTGACGTGTAAAACCATTTCTCATCTTCAAAGCAACGGTACGGTGGCCCTGGCTTGAATTGTCGTGTTGAGGTTGTTTCAAACTGTTCGAAGTGCCGATTGTTCGCATCTAACATCATGTTGCACCATTCTACTCTGTCCACTTTGTGCTTTGCTGTCAGAATAGGTTTAATAACGGTCCTTGTGGTTGTTCCTCCTTTGCCCTTAAACCACTGCTTAAGCTGTTGGTGGCTTATGTTCAGCTTTGGGCCGTCGTCTTCTGGATCGTCTGATAGCAGATTTACGGCACTGGCGTATTCAATCCACGTTGCCTTGTCTCCCTCAAGCTTCTGCGCTTGTCGAAACAGTCGAATAAGGTAACCAGGATGCTGCGTATCCAACTGCCGTGTGTATGGTTGCTTGTTCTGATTGCCAATCTTCCCCACTGTCAAAACGCTTTGCAAGGATGTGGCTCCATGTACGAGGCTGCTGTTTACTTCTTTGTCCCACAACTCAACACTCGAGCCAGCAAGAGGCTTTTTGAATCCCCAATCATAGGCGACAAGACGACAGGCTGCTGCGGCGATGGACTTTCTCTGTTTTCTTGTAAGCTCTGGTCGTTGGTAACCAAATCGATGAGCCACCAGTAGGATTGCCCATCGCATTGCTTTCTCATCTGGTCTTTGCTTCTTTGAAAGTGGAATCGATCCGTCACCAAACCGAGAAGGACGCAACCCATCGTCATCTCGTTTATCAAAATCAAGATTGACGGCAAGCACCATCTCACCTGGTGGACTCCACGGGTTGTGATCTGCTCCTGCAATAATATCATTTGGATCTGCTTGAGCCGTCGCCACCTGTACCTGTAAGTCCTGTTGTTCTGTATCTGCGTTGTGGTCACTCTCATCATCGAGTCCGTCTGAGATTGGAAACGAATATTCTTCTCCGGAGCTTGCAGGAGACGTGTTGTCATCTTCGGTTACAGTTGCAGCAGCCTCGGCATCATTGTCTTCTGGCAGAGAAGATGCCCTAGTGTGGCTTTCGCTGTACCGAGCAATCTGTCGGGGTGGCTCTACATGATGTGTTGTCGCAAAGGTTAGCCTTTTCCCGTGGCGTAAAAGAAATGAAGACCTTCGCCGTCTCCTCCTTGTGCGTGAAGACAATGCCTGGAGAATGGAGCTAATTGGACTCCTCGAAAGATTGGTTTGAGGACTTGTTGGACTGGCTGGCACTGGGCTTGACTGCACTGGACTTGACTGCATTGGACTTCCTCCTGGTGATTCAACCCCATTGCATGCAATCATGTCCGTATAGAATTCTAACAGTTTTGTTGTTGTCTTTTCCGACAGTTTGATTGCTGGAAGAGGAGTTTTCGCATGCGTCGTTCCTCCTCGAATTTGTGCTGCTGCCAAATGTGGTACAACTGTTGGTTGCAGCTCTTTGGCTCGAGGCTCTCCTCTCATTACAAACAGACAACTGCATTCCTCCTGATCCAACCCTTTCGTTGCCACAACAATAAGCCGTGCTTTTGGTCGCTTTTGCCCTGCAACAATGGTTTTCAAGACATCGATCGATCCAAGCTGATAGCTTCCGTTGTTGGCTCTATCGAAGACACCAGCAGTGGCAAAAATGTAGGCGATGGTGCCGAAAGGATGCCCAGAGAGTCGACTGAGACTGTTGTTGGCATCAGCATCACAGGGCCGTGTCGGAATTAACACCCATCGCCTTGGCTTTACTCGGGAGAGCAACAAGCTGACCCACCTGTGTGCTTCCTTTACGTTGACGTTGCTTTCGGCCGCAGTGTTGGCCATTGTGCAATCTCACTGTAATGACATTGAAGCAGTTGTGATCTACTATCAACTGTAACGTCGGCTTCTCAACAAAGCTTTGGTTTTTGGTGGAAGATCCATCTTGTTGTACTCCCACCAACACGACAATCCATCTTGCTTTTGATTCTAGTGTTAATTGAATGGAATAACAATGTGGTTTGCACAGTCGATGACTAGAACTGCAAGTGTAACTCTGTACGAATGGGCGTCCTTTGGATAGATAGATGTTGCTGTTGCTAATAGATGTTTAAAGACTACATATAATAAGGAGTCAATGGCGTCTTATAATACTGCTTGAGTGAGTCAATGACGCCTCTTCTAGAGATCGGCACATTAGCTGGGAACCGCTACGGCTGCATTGGCCATTGTGATCCCCAATCTGCCTCGTGCTTCATTCCGTCCATCGAGCATGTTCTCTTGTCATTGCCGTGATGAAAAGCTTTCCATGATCGACATGAGGGGTAATATTGAAAGCAAGCTGCACCTTCATGAGCGACGATCCACCGAAATGCACAACGAAGACCCTTGCTTGACGGTTGTTGCTTGCTAGTTTCTTGCACTCTCCAAACGTCCATTTTGATGGTGGTGGCAGACTGATGACCTCCGCATCCTCCTCCGAGGAACCAAGCAAGACAGAGTGGTCATCCCAGCCGATTTCCTTACCATGGCAAACGAGACGATACTCGTTGGACTCGAGATATCGTTCAAAGCTTATCATTCCACGGAATCTTCTGTTGGTTGATGGAAACCAAACTCGGAACGAAACATCATGAGCTTTGGCTTGAGACAAACCATTGGAGTGGGCAACCGGAGTCCACGGAGGCGGCACATACTCGAACGAGTCGATCAAATCTAGGAGAGCGGACGGAGCAAACGGAGCGGCCATTGTCACTTTAATAGTTCTGTGCTGTTGGAATAGAAACACTCGGAAAAATGTCAGAGGCGAAGGCGAAGAACGTTCCTGGGTTTTCTAGCAAGCATTTTGAATTCAAACAAGACCAAAAAGCCGCGCAATCGAGGAGTAATCTGGAACGTATGCTTACCTCTCCATTCTGTAATGCACTCATTTTCCGCAAGGAGCTAATAACAACAAGCAAGGATGGTCAATTTCAACACAAAGGACCTCAAGGTCAAAATCTACAGTGGCGCCCGCGACAAAGGCATTCTTCCCAAGGAAAGTGTTGACGCTTTGTGTGGAGCATTGGAGTGGGCGTTTACTCGTGAAGGAAGCCATCGTCTTGTGTTCTCGTATGGAGAGCATGCCTTGGACAGTGATGGAGAGTCGAGTGTCCAGGCAATCATTCGCAAGTACGGAGGCAAGGCTCATTCCGTTGATTCTTGGAATCACATCTTGAAACGCGATGGATCCGTCATCACCACTTTGGAGGTTACCAGTGGCTCTATCGTCTCTGATTGCATCCATCCAACGTACCGTCCTGAGAAGGCTGCCATTGATGATGAGGAGTGGTTCAAGACAACAAGCATCAAGAGGAGCAACAAGCAGCGAAACAGGAAGAAGAAACCCACAATCGATGCCATTCCCGAGCTCGAAAAGCTCGAAAAGCTCAGCCTTGGTCGCGGCGATGAAGAGAACGAGAGCCCTCGCTCTGCCTGTGAGGATGCGGCTGGTGTTGGTTTGACTCAAGAGTTATTCTATTGAAGTGGTTGCGTATTGCCGTCTTCTATTCCTTGTCATGGCGTGTGGTTGATCTTTGCTCTCTTTTTTTGCCACCGCGGATTGATTCAATTCCGAGAAATTGCGCACGAGCCCTCTATACTATTTTTAGAGTAAATACAAATAGCACGTTCTAGTTAAATAAAATCCGTAGCATTCCGGCATCCTCGTTCAGGCGCGTCCAAGTGGTCGCGAATGCAATCCTTTAAATCTTTCTGAGTCTTGTAAGACATTCCGCCGCCATAGTAGAGTTTCAAGAATCCGGAAAGGTAGCACCAAGGCATTGGGTATGGTAGCCATGAATATTTTAGTCAACATCTTGCAGCTTTTCATACATATACATCCTAGTGCTAGTTTACGAGCAAAGCCTCAGAAAGTCACACAGCTGCAGTGCAATAGTAACGGTACAGTAGGCAAGCTCTGGCAATAATAGATACCAGTAGGCTCAGACGGCAGGAAAGACACTACACATTGAACCTCCGGGGCCGGCACTGAGGCCAGCCCCAATGAACCCAAAAGCGGGTCCAAATTCAAGTAGAATCACACCACTGATAAGGAGTAAGGGAAAAACCCAACAGGAATATCAATCGCTGCCAGCCAATAAACACAGGGAACTAGAAATGCATCCAAGGTATAGACACATCCACAAACACAGGAAACCTGTGCACCCAAATGAAGCCCACCAAGACAGACACGACCCCATTGGCCACCAGAGTAAATCATTTGGGTGAAGGAACCATCCAAGGCCAGGCCAGCTTCCAAGTGGAAGCCCTTATATTGAATTTCTCCACTCTGCTTGTTTGTTGTTTGTTGTTTGTTGTTTGTTGTTTGTTGTTTGTTGTATTTGTATTTGTATTTGTATTTGTATTTATTTGTCCTACCCAAAGGTGTAGCCGTGCACTTTTGTAGGATTCCTTGCATTGCTTGAATTTGTTGTGGGCGGTTTCGAATAGCTTGCATCAAGGCAGTTTGGTTGGCAGCAGCAGCAGCAAAGGTGCGAAACCTTTCCCTGAGGGACAGTAGTGAAGGCATTCCTTCTTCTTGCATGTTGGTTTCCTCCAGGATCTCTGTTTCATTGATCCCTGCTTCTGCAAAGAGGGTGGCTTGGTATGCTTCCATATCATAGTTCTGTTGAAAGAGCTCCATTTCCTGAACAATGCAGCTGACTGGGGCACAACGTTTGCCAAGTGGAATCCCCAGATTGGTGCAGTCCAGGTTGGGAAAGCAGGGATCTTGTTGTTCCTCATCATCGCAGCGTGCTCCAAGGGAGCCACCAACTCGGCGCCTGTCATTATCTTCTAGTTTGCGCAGGAACTCATGTCTGGTCTGGTCTGTTTGTTCTAGAGTAGCCAACAAATCTTTCTCTCTCTCTCTCCACCTTGAGCATTCAACCGAGTTCCTCTGGCTACTGAAATGGTAATGTGCGACGGGATACAGCTTACAATTCAGCTTTACAGCTTTACAATTGGCAGGCTTATTCTAGAAAATAATCAATAAACTGCTCACTTATTTGGAAATACAAACTTACATCTCTTAGATCGTTAATTAATCAATGACAATGTATTGTCGCATGGTAGCATGCGAGGTTTGAGATGTTACTCATTCTATTTCTTATATTCTATCCCCTATGGTTGTCAATGGAATGTGCTACCCTTGATGCACGATGAGTTATGCCATAGGAGCCATATTTATGGGTGCGGCGAGCTGTGCTGGCCAGTCTGGTGAAAGATCCTGCTGCATTGTACACTTTTCAGTACAATGAGCTGTGTCACCATCAGACAAGATAGGAACAGCTGTAGAGGACATAGAGTTCCTCTGCAAGGAAGGATGATGCACTTCCCAGCCATGACCTACTAGAAAGATAGTTGGTATATACCAGCCAAAAGAATGCATGGATCTGTATCCGCATGGCTGGATGGAGTTTCACGCAAATCAGAGTTTGTGTTCATATTATAGTTTAAAGAAGTAAAGAAGAAGTAGTTGACCAGATACAGACCCAACAGCACAAGTAGAGCTCTGCATGAGACAGGATCCTGTATGGCCAGTGCCAGGTATTGAGCAATTAGACTGTTCATCATTGCTTCCACAGTGATTAATAGCATTGGCTGCCAGCCTTGGCTGGCCCTTTCTGCGTATGGCGTGCTCGGTGGTGGGATTGTGAAGATTCTTCCGACGCATACATGGACGCTTGCTCCTCCCATGTCTTCTTTGGTGGAACCTATGCCAGCTGGGTTGTTACCGTTTGCTTGCCTACTTGAGGGGATTTAACATGGTCGGATGAGACGTGCGCTGCACCAGGGTGGTGTTATTGTGTGTGGAGAATCGTCTTGTTGGAGTGGTGCGTAGTTGAAGAGAGTAAGTCGTGTGTGTCTTGTTGTCGTTCTGTTGAGTACTGCTGACCAGATCGGGTGGAGCGTGATATCGCTCGAAATAATCGTGGTTTGGGAGATCGTTGGGCTCGCGGAAGTCTTCGTTATTGTGTGTTGTTGAGTACGCATAGGAATGCGTGCGTCACCTGACATAAGTGCGATAATGTTATCTCTCTAACAAGATTAGGCCAGCAGTGCTCCGCGGTTTGTTAATAAGTGCTTTGGTTGTATACATTTG